CGTGCTGTTTTGTCTCGAGGCGCAGGCCCCCGCCCTCTTTACGCTTGTCCCTGGGGTTAATTTTCCCTCCCGAATCGTTCCTGACGGTCCCGCGGCCTGGTGAGGGCCCCGAGATGCCGGAAACCGTGCAGAGCCCAAGACCTCGATCTTCTCGAGACGCCTGATGGACCCCTGCTTCTACCACCGAGTGCTCGCGGAGGAGGGAGGAGGAGGAGAATGAGGAGGAGGAGGAAGAGAAGAAGGATGAGGAGGTGGAGGAGGTGGAGGTGGAGGAGGGGGAGGGGGAGGGGAGGGAGGGAGGGATGGAGGGAGGGACTCGGCGGCGGGATCGAGAGGACCGGGCCCCAGAGCGCGCCGCACGCGGCGGCGGGCCCCAGGATTTCCAAGGAGGTCCCTACGGCGTCCAGAGCACCCCTTACGAGGCCCAGAGGGCCCCAGGGGCTCCAAGATGGAGCGAAAAAGCTGGGGGTCTCGATAAGCGCGTTCCACCACTCGCAAAGTTGTGTCTCGCAGATAGCCTGGATCCGCCGCGGGGGATTTACGATCCACTACATAGCGGAATACATGTACAGGGCAGTTTTTAATACATATGATGTTTCATACAACATAAGTTGTTTATACACGATTAACTTGTGAACAAAATTATGCATGAACTCATCGTTGCTTTTAATACTCAATCCCTGCATTTTAATACATGATCCGCACGCGGAGCATGTATTAAAAACGGCACTGTAGGCACTCTGCGAGAAGAGGGAGTAGGCACTCTGCGAGTAGGCACTCTGCGAGTAGAGGGAAGCGCTCGGTGAACCTCGGGCCACGGGCACCGTCAGTAGCCCCTGAGAGCTGGGTCGAGCCGCAACTTCGCGTTGGGCCTGGAAGGCCTGGGCCTGGGCCCCTTAGAGTTATGTCGGGCCTGTCCCCCCATAGTCTCGTTTCGGGGACCTTCTTGGAGCCACTCGCTCCACTCGTGCGTCGAAGCGCGAGCCGAACCCGAGTCGAACCTGAGTCGAACCCGAGTCGACCTTGAGTCGAACTGGAGTCGAGTATGATACGTTGGGTGGGCCCCAGGGAAGGTCCCCCGAAACGAGCACCGACGGCCCCCCCCCCACCCAGAGCGCCTCCAGCGACGTGGGCGCGGCGAGGCGCGCCGCCTCCGACGCCGGGCAGCCTCGAGCGGCCGCCCGCGGGGGCCGGGCCCACGCGGCCAGCGCCTGACAGCCACGGCGGTTCCATCCCACCGCCGAGGGCCCCGCCAGGAGGTAATTTCCCTCGTCCTCCCTCCTCCTCCCTTCTCCTCGCACCCCCCCCCCCTCCTTCGCTTCGCTTCGCGTACCTCCGACTGCTATAATGAGCAAGCGGCAGCACGCAAAACACACGCAGGCACACAACAGACAGGCACTCTGACCCACGGGCCCTGCCGACATATTCGTGGGTCGCCCTGCGCCCTTCTGGCGCCTCCTCCGCAACCTCTGACCAGGTCGTCTCCCACCGGCTAGGGCGGCCACTGGTCGCCCGAATGCCCCTCCCCACTCCCTTTCCGCCCATCCTTGGATGCTTCGAAGTGAGCGCCAACACCGAAACAAGGGGTTGCATCCGCCGGGGGAGGATGATCCTAGATGTAGGTGCCGGTGGTAACCTTTCGGCTGCCTGGAAGCCTGAATATTACCGCCATGACCGAGATCGGGATAATTCATCTTCCTCGGTGGAAGCACACCGCCCATATTGGTGTTGGTGCTAAGCTCTAGGCATCCGCCCATCCCCTTTCCCCCCCCGCCCCCGGCCCCCCTTCCCCTCCCCGTCGCGACCCTGGCCGACCAGGCCAGGCCTTGACGAAGCACAAAACAGCTGGAGAGCGCACCCTCGGAGCCCGAGCACCGCGGAAAACCTCGAGGCTCGTCGCCGTCTTTGTCCTCTTTGTCTTTGTCTTTGTCGTCGTCTTCGCCGTCGCGCGACATCGGCCCCGCGACCCTTCGAGGTACCTCCCGGCCAGGGCCCCGCCCGCGGCCGGCCGCGGCGACGAGGGCCTCCCGGGCGCGCCACGAGCCGTCCGAGACGACGTCCGCCGCCGCTGCCGTCCCGTGCCGCCGCCCCGCGTCGCCGCTGCCATCCTGCGCCGTCACCGCTGCCGCCTCGACTTCACGCAAGAGTGACCTCTGGCCATGGCTCGGACGTCCATTTCCTGAGTTTTTTTTGGTTTCGTGCGTGGTTTTTCGCCAAATGATCAAGGATGCTCCTCGATGGTCCTCGCCGAAGGAAAAATGCACACGTCCGAGCGATGCCAAGACCTCTGGTGCGCGGCTTTTTGAGGGCCGCGGGGGGACCAACACACAAGCGCGCAAGACGCCACTGCCGCATCGGGTTCGGCGATCGGGGGGCCCTATTGGGCCCGCACCAAAAGGTCACTCCGGCGAAAGGTCGCTTTTACGTATAGTCGACCGTCTCCTTTTGGGACACGACCGCCTGAACCGGACCCGCCCTCGCCATACCCGGTGAGAGATCGGCGAGGGGCGAGGGCGGCGGGGGGTGGATCTGGGCAGGCGGCGGAGGGTGCTGTGCGGGCGCGGCGGCAAGAGCACCAGCACCTGGCTTCTTGATGCACGCCCCCACTGTAACGGGGTATCGCGCCGTAGTCATCGCCGTCGCCGTTGCCGTCGTCGTCGTCCCCCTTGAGGGTCGGCGGCGACGGCCGTAAGGCCTTCGCAATCCAGGGGACCCTGACGAAAACACATGGCTTCTTGATGCGCGTCCCCGCTGCAACGGTCACGTAACCTCGTCTCTATCAGGGAGGCGTCGCGACCGAAACTGTGCCCGAATCTCTGCCCGGGTGTGACCGAAACTTGCGCCCGAACATTTCTGACCGCGCCCGAGTGTGACCGAGATATTCGGTTCGAAACCAAGACGGTGTTCAATTTCGGTTGCAATGTCAGTCACACCGCGTATTCGGTCCCAACTTCGGGCACGTTTTCCGCCGACGACTTTTTCTGGTTACCTGCCTTTTCGGCTGATAGGGGCCGAGTGCCACGACAACGGGGTACGATTGCGGGCCCCCACCTCTCGTTTCTCTTCGCCCTCGCCGTCGTTGCTGGCCCCGACCTCTCGATCCTCTTCGCTCTCGATGGCAAACCCCGACCTGAGAAAGTCAAGGCCGCCGCCCCTCTCTTCAGGATCGGGGTCTCTGGAGGCCCGCCCGCCCCAGACCCGGGGCCCTCAGGTCACGACCAGGACGAAGCACTGGCCCTGGGGAGGGGGCCAAAAGGCCCTTGGGGGCCCTTGTCGCGACGAGCAAACCAAGACATCCGACGCCATGAGCTCGCGCCGTGGCGTGCAACCCACGGGCTAGCAATCCCTTCCTGGGGGCCACTTGTCCATCAAGTGCACCTGTTTAACAGTCCAGGGGCCCGGAACAATCCGTCTGGATGCTTCAAGGCGTGAGGCCTGGGAGGAAGGGGCGAGGAAGAGGTGGTGGATGGAGATGTATGGCGGGGCTCTCGGGGCGATGCAAACGGCGATGAAGGAGGGGAGAAAGAAGAGGTGCAAGCGAGCGTTCTCAAGCGTGTCAAAAGATGCTACAATCTGCTCCTACCTCCGTCCAGAACGCTCACACTTGGAAGCGGCAAGACATGCGATGCACACATGAGGATCTCCGCGTTGAGCAATTTCCCACCTCCGGTAATCGAAAATCAGCCGACCCTGCTGTCGTGTGTGAGAGGCCTGTCAAGCCCTCGCAGCACCGGCCAATCCCATTCAGTGTTCCAGCCACTTCCACACAACATCAATTCATTCGGGGGGAACGAAGGGGGGGATAACAAAGGGTAGGGTAGAGAATCAGCTCTCGTAGCTCATTTTCCCAGCGCCTCCCGGCACCATGAGGCGCCCATGCATCCAGGAATGGGCCCGGCGGCGGGGCCGAAATCAGCTGCATGCAGTAGATTTCGTAATCCCCCTTTTCACTATCCCCCCTTTCGCTCGGCCCGATTCATCCAATACAAAGGAAATCCCTTCCCTGTCCGCCTTCCCTAACGGAGGGGGGCCAGGCGGGGGGTTCAGGTGTGTGTGTGTGTGTGTGTGTGTGTGTTTGTGTGTGTGTGTGTGTGTGTGCGTGCCCACCCCTTCAGAGTAGCACTGGAGCCCCTCCCTTCTCCGCCTCGCTCTTCCCCCTCCTCCCCCTTCTCCGCCCTCGCCGTCCTCGCGACCCTCCAAGACGGACCAAGGTGGCCCCACGAGGACCCCCCGCGAGGGCCCCAAGAAGCACACTGATGTTCCAAACATGTTTCCGAATGATTTCAGCATCGTCGCCGTTTCGGCTTCCAGCGCTACAAGACGGTCCAAGAGACCGCCAAGTTCGCTCGATGGCGGCCCAAGGGGCTCCGAAGAGGGCCCCTAGAAGGCCCAAGAGCGCCCCAAGACGACCCACGAGGCCTCCAAGACGGCCCACGAGGGTCCCAAACGGGAGAACGCGAACTTAGACCCGCCCCAAGATGACCCCCGATACCACCAGCAGGCCCCCAAAGAGGCCCCCAAAGTCCCCAAAAAGGCCCCCAACCAGGCCCCGAAGAGACCCGCAAGAGGCCTCCGAGAAGCACCCCAATAGATCCTTGACATATTCAGAAGGGCTTTAGTCCACGACCCTGGTCCGAAAACCCTTCGGTGGAGGCGGCAAGGTGTTCTCTCCTCTTCAGTCTCGAGGTGCTCTTCAAGCCATTCTTCGGCGGTGGACAAGCCTCCCTTAGTAAACCTCCCCTTAGTGAAAACGGCCTGGGACCGAAATCGACGGACCTGGACCCGCAGAAATGACGGCCGCGACGCCCTCTCGCGATCCGAAAACGGCAAATTCCTTACTCGACGTGTCAGGGTAGGAGGTCTATCCACCCCCGAATTATGAGATAATCGTCGGCCTGCCTTCGTGAGCTCCTCGGCTCCATCGTGGCCTCACCGGGGCCTCGGCGGAACCGGCCGTGAGGCCTCTCCAGTGGGTGCCCCAGGGAAGGGGGGAGACCATGTTTTGATCACCACCTCGCACGATACTAGTCTTCGTCTTGAGCTCGCTGTCTTAGTGTTCTGAAATGAGCTGACCGCTAGGCATTCAGCCACGCGAAACAAAACGAGGAAGCTGCAAGATGCAGGACAGGAATTGTGCTGCGTTGGTGTTTTCTGTAATGCAGGCTATGTGCTGAGGCCTGCAATCCGCAGTCTGCGGCTCTAGACAGAAAAACCCACCAACCACAACAGCAACGACGCTGGTGATGGCTTCAGAGCTGCCAGCCAGAGCCATCGCCTCCCCCGCAAACACAGACCGGAGGAAGGAAGCGTAGAAGAGTATTCCTCTGCCAAAGTTCTCGCTGGCGAACAACTGGATTCACTGCCAACCACAAAGCTACACTCCGAATGCAAGTCACATCGTACTAGACAACATGAGGCCACCTGTGCATGCGTAGAATTGAAGCTGGACAGCCTGCCGTTATCGGCTGGCAAACTGTCGCCCACTCTCTTCAATTTCGGGATGCGTAGTTAAACAGGGCCGCCCATCTGAGCGGGGCCCTGAGCCAGCAAGCTCTCCAGTAAGGCGCTGGCTAAGAAATATAACGACACCGCGCGGCACTGGACTCACAAGACCTCGACACAACAATGCAACCGGGCCCACTCGGCACTCGCGGGCGCATGTTTTCTTGTATTGTTTCTTTATTTCTCTCTCTCTCTCTCTATGTGTGTGATGTCGGTTGTCTCTTGCCTCTTTTTGGACGCCCGAAATGGGTACGGAACAAAATTGTACAATGCCCAACAACAAATGTTGCCCCAAGCCAACAGCGGCCGCTGTTGGGCAGGCGGCCTTCTGTCTCGAATGGGCACAGGCCGCGGCGGCGTGGACAGCGAGCCCTGTTGACAATGAACAGGAACGGCTGTTGGGCATCGTACCATTCTTTCCGTACCCGTTTCGGGCGTCCAGACTCTTGTCTCTGCAGTCTTGTTCCAAGGGGGGGCCTCGCGGCGTCCCAAAAAGTCACCTGGGAGGGCTGTGTCCAAGTCTCCTGCCCAGTCTGGACTGCTCCAGGGTGCTAGATCCGCCATCTGATGGCCAGGAGGGCCCAGGAGGCTTCCAGAGATGCCCTAATAGGCCCCGAAGAGGGCATCGAGAATCAAGCACTGCCGAAGATGGCCCGAGGAGAACCCAGAGACGCCCCGAAAAAAATGTATCCGATGTTTTCTCTGATTGTTCCATATTTTGTGCCCCAAACTGGCCCAATGAGGCCTCCAAGACAGACCGCGGTGTTTCAACCCCCACAAAACCGAATCAACCACTTGATAAACACTTGCCTCCGCAGTTGTCCGGGCACGAGGGGGGCGAGCAGGAGGAGGGGGAGGAGGATGACAGACCGTGGTGTTCCAACCGCCTCGAAAATGAATCAACCACTTGACAAAGACTTGCTTCCGCAGTTGGCAAAGACTTGACGCGGAGGATGACAAGGATGACGATGCGGAGGAGGAGGAAGAGGAAGATGGGAAGGCGAAGGCGGGGAGATGATGAACGAGAGAAGAAGGTGGAGGACGAAGAGGAGGAGGGGCGAGGAGAAGGCGGAGGATTGAGGAGAATTATGAGGAAGAGGGGTGGCGAGGACAAGGCGATGCGGAGCAGGAAGAGGAGGAGGGGGAGGCGAAGGGAGAACGAAGATGAACGGGAGGAGGGGGAGGAGGAGGAGGAAGAGGAGGAGGGGGCGAGGAGGAGTGAGGAGGGTTATGACAGGGGGTGGTGAGGACAAGGCGGAGGAGGATCGATCATCGAGGTTAGATCGACGATCGAGGATGGCGGGGGATCGAGAATCGAGGCTCGAGAATCCGTGAAGGATCCATGGTCTATCGAGGTTCGACGAAGGTCGAATTTCGATCGAGGATCAAGGTTCGATCGAAGACCGAGGATCGAGGGTGGATCAAGGATGGGAGCTCGGTCGAGGGTCGAGGATCGAGGTCCGACCGAGGATCGAGGATCGATCGAGAATTGGGAATTGATCGACGTTGGAGGTTCGGAGGGAGGCGGACGAAGGGGGTGAATGACGAGGAGGCAGGACGAGGAGGACGGACGAGGACCAGGAAGATGAGGACGATGAGGAAGGAGGGAGGCACAAGGAGGATTACGACGATGATCGCGAGGAGGGGGGATAAGGAGGGGGAAGGACGGAAGATGGCGGGCGTCTTGAAGGTCCCAGGGCCCACCGCCCACCGGAGGCAGGCTGTGCTCGCTCTGATCGGGGCTCCTGACAGGCCGTCGTCGCCACGGCTGGATTCGCCGAGGGCCCGGCCAGGGCGCGATGCAATCCTGGGGGCTGCTCGTCCCAATCGCCGGGCGCGCGGGGGGGGGCATCCTCCTCCTGTAGCGAATAGTCCAACGCGTGCTCGCCTTCTGTCCTCCTCCTCCTCCTCCTCCTCCTCCTACTCCTCCTTCTCATCCTCCTCCTCCTCTTCCTTTCCTCCTCCTCAGCCTCCTCCCCCTCCTCCTCCCCCTCGGGGTGCCCCCCCTCCTCCTGCCCTCGCCTCTGCTGGGGCCCCTGTGGGTCCGTCCACTGCGCCCTCTGTTGGAGGGGCGCAGGCGCCCCAGCGTAGGGATCGAGGCCATGAATTCAGGTGGATTCGAGGTCTGTGGGCTTGCACGCGCTGTCTTGCTCGTGTGCGTTCGGACCCTCCGCAGCCAGCTGCGGACTGTCTAGGTTTCAACCCTGTGCTGTGTGCCCTTGTGCAGGAGCCTCAGGGGCACAAAATCCACCTGACGGGAACCCCCGACGGGATTACCCTCTTCTGCTGCATGGACTGTGGCAGTGTCTCCGAGGGAGTTAGGCTCGGTGGGCTGGCGAAGGCCTGCAAGGGCGGGCCTTCCTCCAGCCACACGCGTAGCAACCTCTCTCGGCTCAGAAAGGGCATCCATGCCAATAATAGGGATGTGTTGCTTGATGAGCTTGTGCCCCTTGTGGACTTCACCTGTGCTGTGGACGGCGGTGGATCGGTTTCGACTGGTGAGGTGGGGAGTTAGTTGCTGGTGCCTTTCCCTCTTGGGGTAGGGCTGCTAGTGATTTCCTCTCTATCTTGCTGGTCCTAGCCTTTGCGATGCGACGTGTCAAATCAAATCCTCCCCCTCCTCCTGTCTCCTCGTCCTCCTCTTCCTCCTTCTGCTCCTCCGCGTCGACGACGACGAGGGCGCCGCCGGCCATTCTGGGAGGGAGAGAGGAGAAGACGACGACGAAGACGACGCACCAGAATGACGACCTAGATTCTAGTTCGCCGTTCTGGCGGTACTCTTGGGGCACCAGGACAGCGAATTAGATTATAGTTCGCCCTTTTGTGGGCGCCCTGGGGGCACCAGAATGAAGAAGTAGAGAACTAGATTCCATTTCGCACTGGGAGCAAAAGAATGGCGAACTAAATTCTAGTTCGCCATTCTGGCGGTACTCTTGGGGCACCAGAGCGGCGGAATAGATTCTAGTTTGCCGCTTTGTGGGCGCCCTGGGGGCACCAGAATGACGAACAGAGTCTAATTCGCCGTTCTGGCGGTACTCTTAGGGCACCAGAGCGGCGAACTAGATTCTAGTTCGCCGCTTTGAAAGCGCACTGGGGGTACCAGAATGACGAACTAGATTCTAGTTCGCCGTTCTGGCGGTACCCCTGGGACATCAGTGCGGCGAAATAGAATATAATTCACCTTTTTTGGGCGCCCAGAGGGCACCGGAATGACGAACTAGATTCTAATTCGCCGTTCTGACGGCGGAACGGCGAACTAGATTCTAGTTCGCCGTTTTGAGGGCGCCCTGGGGGCACCAGAGTGACGCACTAGATTCTAGTTCGCCGTTCTGGCGGTACTCTTGGGTATTCTCGGGGCGCCAGAGCGGCGATGTAGATTCTAGTTCGCCCTTGTGTGGGCGCCCTGGGGGCACCAGAGTGACGCACTGGATTCTAGTTTGCCGTTCCGGCGGTACTCTTGGGGCACCAGAGCGGCTGCATAGATTCTAGTTCGCCCTTTTGCGGGCGCCCTGGGGGCACCAGAGTGACGAACTAGAGTCTAGTTCGCCGTTCTGGCGGTACTCTGGGGCACCAGAACGGCGAACTACATTCTAGTTCGCCGTTTTGTGGGAGCCCTGGAGGCACCAGAGTGACGCGCTAGATTCTAGTTCGCCGTTCTGGCGGTACCCCTCGGGCATCAGAGCGGCGAACTAGGATATAGTTTCACTTTTGGGGGCGCCCGAGGGGGCACCAAAGTGACGCACTAGATTCTAGTTCGCCGTTCTGGCGGTATTCTTGAGGCACCATAGCGGCTGAATAGATTCTAGTTCGCCCTTTTGTGGGCGCCCTGGGGGCACCAAAGTGACGAAATAGAGTCTAGTTCGCCGTTCTGGCTGTACTCTGGGGCACCAGAACGGCGAACTAGATGCTAGTTCGCCGTTTTGTGGGTGCCCTGGGGGCACCAGAGTGACGCACTAGATTCCAGTTCGCCGTTCTGGCAGTAATCTTGGGGCACCAAAGCGGCCGAATAGATTCTAATTCGCCCTTTTGTGGGCGCGCTGGGGGCACCAGAGTGACGCGCTAGGTACTAGTTCGCCGTTCTGGCGGTACCCTTGGGGCACCAGAGCGGCGAACTGGATTCCAGTTCGCCGTTCTGGCAGTAATCTTGGGGCACCAGAGCGGCCGAATAGATTCTAGTTCGCCCTTTTGTGGGCGCCCTGGGGGCACCAGAGTGACGCGCTAGATTCTAGTTCGCCGCTCTGGCGGTACTCTTGGGGCACCAGAGCGGCGAACTAGATTCTACGTCGCCCTTTTGTGGGTGCCCTGGGGGCACCAGGAGTGACGCGCTAGATTCTAGCTCGCCGTTCTGGCGGTACCCCTGGGACATCAGAGCGGCGAACTAGATTCTAGTTCGCCCTTGTGTGGGCGCCCTGGGGGCACCAGAGTGACGCACTAGATTCTAGTTCGCCGTTCTGACGGTACTCTTGGGGCACCAGCGCGGCGAACTAGATTATACTTCGCCTTTTTGAGGGCGCCCTGGGGGCACCAGAGTGACGCACTAGATTCTAGTTCGCCGTTCTGGCGGTACTCTTGGGGCACCAGAGCGGGGGCACCAGATTCTAGTTCGCCCCTTGTGTGGGCGCCCTGGGGGCACCAGAGAGACGCGCTAGATTCTAGTTCGCCGTTCTGGCGGTACTCTTGGGGCACCAGAGCGGGGGCACCAGATTCCAGTTCGCCCTTTTGTGGGCGCCCTGGGGGCACCAGAGTGACGCGCTGGATTCTAGTTCGCCGTTCCGGCGGTACTCTTGGGGCACCAGAGCGGCGAAGTAGATTCCAGTTCGCCCTTTTGTGGGCGCCCTGGGGGCACCAGAGTGACGCACTAGATTCTAGTTCCCAGTTCTGGCGGTACTCTTGGGGCACCAGGACAGCGAACTAGATTTTAGCTCGCCGTTTTGAGGGCGCCCTGGGGGCACCAGAGTGACGCGCTAGATTCTAGTTCGCCGTTCTGGCGGTACTCTTGGGTATTCTCGGGGCACCAGAGCGGCGATGTAGATTCTAGTTCGCCCTTTCGTGGGCGCCCTGGGGGCACCGGAGTGACGCACTAGATTCTTGTTCGCCGGGGTACCAGAGCGGCCGAACTAGATTCTACTTCGCCCTTTTGCGGGCACCCTGGGGGCACGAGAG